ATATTTTTGTATCCTTTGGGTAAATACTTAGTAATGCAATTTTTAGGTTATAAGGTATTTCTATTTTTAACTTTTTGGGGAACATCCTTACTGTTTTCCACAGTGGCTTCACCAGTTTGAATTCCCACCAAGAGTGTAAGAGGGTTCCCTTTTCTGTGCATCCTTGGCAACATCTGTTGTTCCCTGTGTTCTTAATTTTAGCCATTCTGACTGGTGTGAGGTGATATCTTATCATAGTTTTGGTTTATATTTCCCTGACAATGAGTGATGTTGAGCATCTTTTCATTTGTCTGTTAGCCATCTGGATGACTTCTTTGGAAAAATGTCTATTCGTGTCTTCTGCCCATTTCTTGACTGGATTATTTGTTTTTTTGGGTGCTGAGTTTGGTAAGTTCTTTATAGATTTTGAATACTAGCCCTTTATGTGATATATCATCTCCCATTCCGTAGATTCCCTTTTACCTTTGTTGACTGTTTCCTTTGCTGTGCAGAAGCTTTTCCTCTTGATAAAGTTCCAATAGTTCATTTTTGCTTTTGTTTCCCATGCCTTTGGAGACACGTACAGTAAGATGTTTTTACAGCTGATGTCAAGGAGGTTGTTGCCTGTGTTCTCCTCTAGGATTTTGATGGTGTCCTTTCTTACATTCAGGTCTTTCATCAATTTTGAGTTTATTTTGGGGAATGTTGTAAGGAAGTGGTCCAATTTCATTCCTTTGCATGTTGCTGTCCAGTTTTCCCCAAACCATTTATTGAACAGACTTTTTTCCATTGGATATTTTTTTTCCATTGGATATTCTTTCCCGCATTGTTGAAATTAGTTGACCATATAGTTGTGGGTCCATTCCTGGGTTTTCTATTCTGTTCCATTGATTTGTGTGTCTGTTTTTGTGCCGGTATCATACTGTCTTTATGACTACAGCTTTGTAATATAGCTTGTAGTGCAGAATTGTGATGCCTCCACTTTGCTTTTTCTTTTTCATGATAACTTTGGCTATTTGGGGTCTTTTGTGGTTCCATACAAATTTTAGAATTGTTTGTTTTAGTTCTGTGAAAAATGCTGGTGTATTTTGATAGGGACTGCATTAAATGAGTAGCTTGTTTTGGATTACATAAAGATCATTCAGAATTTCTCTAAGCACAGGATCATCGCTGGTTTAAAGTCATTTCTATTAAAGTGCAATTCATATTAATACTATCAATTTTTACCTTATCTAAAACATTTTATCTGCATCCTATTGTGATAGTTTGAGGCTAAGTGGCAAATTTTATTGGGTAAAAACTAACTCAACTACATACTAATAATTTAAAACAGAAGATGTAGAATTAAAAGAAATCAAGAATGGAAGGCAATGTAAAGTGTATAAATAAATTATATACCAAGTGAGGAAGTTTGTGTTTATTCACTATCACATTTTCATTCCTACTTCTAGGGCTTCTCCATCCAGATAATTTTATTAAAGCTCCAATTTACTTATATTCTGGTATTTTATAGAAAGAGTCTGACATGAAAGTTGGTTAATGAGGCATTGCTCTATAAACAAGCAAAGCCTTGATAAATACAGTCTAAAATAATGGACAACTATCATTTAAAAGCTATGATGGAATTGAAGATTTCTTTGACAACACTATAAACCATGACAGCGAAGTAGAACATATGATGATGGTATCACTAATACATGGTTAAACCAAATTTACGTCATGTTTGTGTGTGTACTTGTACACACATTAACTTACGTTCTTATTCTTTTTTTGTTTTTAATTTCTTTTACTTTTTTTTTAGTGGTTGGGGAGGCAGAGGGAGAGGGAGAGAGAGAATCCCTAACAGGCTCTGCACCAAAGTGGAGCCTGATGGGAGCTCGATCTACAACCCTGAGATCATGACCTGAGCCAAAATCAAGAGTTGGATGCCCAACCAACTGAGCTACCCAGGAGACCCTGTTCCTATTCTTTTATGTTTATTCTGTTATGTTCTATTTCCCTCCCATTAATCAATGCACTGTGACTCTTCCTTCTCATGTTATCCTCTGCCTCCCTCCAGTATAAGTGTAAAGACGTATACACTTATACAGTATAAGTGGAGACGTAGATGCACCTGGCCCTGGGCAACTCGAGTCAAATCTGACAGTATTTATTATTAGCCCCATCTTCACCTGGGACTAGAAAGTCTCAACCAGTGGTTACCAAGATATGGCCCTAGAACCAGAAGCATGAGCATTGCCTAAAAATGCAAATTCTTAGGCTCCGACCCAGATCTATTAGATCAGAAACCTTCGGGCAGGGGCCCAGCCCTCTGGGTATTAATGAGCCCTCCAGGTGATTCTGATGCTTATTCAAGTTTGAGAGCCACTGGTCTCACCTTGGTCTTGCTGCCCTGTATCCTCTCTGCCTGAGTGGATTTCCTGGGTACTTACATATCTATGAATTTCAATTTTCCTTCTCTGATTGTCTCCTGACTGGGTCTCTGATCTCTCTGACTGGATTTCCACTGATTCCAGATTTAACACTTTAGTTTCCCACTGAGATTTCCACCCTGCCTATTATACTGGAGCCCTGTCAGCCCCTTTCCCTAAATACATCATAGCTCTGCCTTTAATGGCCCCCTCTCCGGGCTGGTCACCAAGTCTGGCCTTGAATCAGTTGGGCCATTTGGAGCTAATTCCCACTGGGGCATCTCCATGTCCTGACAATCCCCAGCAGGCCATTATAATGCTGGTCTAAGCTGACCTACAGACCCTTCACTTGTGGATACTGTGGTTGACATCAATACCCTTTCTTTTTAGGCCCTGCTGTATAGGTGATCATTCTAATCTGCCTAAAGTCCCATTGTTATACTCCCCTCTCTCTGCTGTTCTGGATATCAAGAGACTGCATAGGCTATGCCATCTATTTGAAATCAATGGATACCTTTGGAAAATACTATAAGAGAGTTAGGTAAATACTTCAGGGTAAAACATATTTTTGATTTGGGGATGACCTCTTCAAGGTAAAGAAAGACAACAGTAGAAAATAAGTTATATTTGAATTACTTCAGGAAAATGTTGATATCACTACTTCATGTTCTGAGTATTCTAATTTACCTGATGTAGTAGTTAATACTTTTATGTTGCAGGGATTAGTATCCTCTAATTTTTGTTTTCTAAGCCCTAATATTTCCATGCATGGATCCACCTACTGAAATTTATTTTCCAGAAACCTGAACATATCACTATTTTGCTAACACTTCACAGGGGATCCAGTACTATAGAGTTTAATGCAATATGTGTGCTCACCCACAGGAACCTACAGGTAGCTACTACTGTGAAGGAAATTGTGGGTCACATTTATATGTCTAGAAAATAATTCAACAAACATTTCAAAACACTCTCTATTCAACTTTGGTCAAAGCCCTTTAATGTGTTTAGCAATCATCACAGTACTTCAAGAAGTTCTTTATTTTTCCTTGATTTTGGTTTAATGCCTGGCCACTTGGCCCAGTTTAAGCACAAGCTTTCTTGTACTAAAGCTTTGAGTCCTGTTTCTGTTTCCTCTTTGCCAAATGGATAGAAAATTGTCAGTAAGTGCTTAATAAAAAGTAATTTGCATTGTGGTTATATTCATTTAATGTTTCATGTAGCAATTATTTATTTAATCTTACTGTATCTTAGGCACTGTGTTGGTATTGGAATAAGAATCCCTGTCTGAATCCTTTTAGAAGTCATTTTCCAGTCAAATGGATCTTTTCCTGTTAGATGTGATGGGTATGGAATTGCTTTACAGAGACTGGGTGAAGACCAGGGATGGATTGCAAAATCATCAAGGTATATGGCATTGAAAAATAAAATGTGACTTACCCAAAGCACTGTTATATTAGGGGATATGAAAATGAGAACCCAGATCAAAAATATACTTAAACAAAGACAACAACATTTTAAAATAGATTTACCCATTTTTACAGTTGGCACAAGCTCTCCCATTTTTGTCAGCTTTCCACCTTGACTATTATACTGGAGCCCTATCAGCTCCTTTCCCTAAATAGATCAGAGCCCTGCCTTTAATGCTCTCTCTTCCTGGCTGGTCACCAAGTCTGGCCTTGAATCAGTTGGTCCATTTGGAGTTAATTCTCATTGGGGCATTTGCATGACTTGACAAGCTCATGTATAACCCCCAGCAGGCCATAATAATTCTGGCCTAAGCTGACCTCCAGACCCTTCATTTGTGGATACTGTGGTTGACATCACTATCCTTCCTTATTAGGCCCTGTTGTATGACCTAGATAATCATTCTTACCTGCCTAAAGCCCCATTATTATACTCCCCTCTCTCTGCTGTTCTGGACATTAAGAGACTGTATAGGCTATAACATCTATTTAAAATCAGTGGATGCCATTATCCATTATCTATATAATTTAGGTTTATAGTGATCATCTTCCAGGGACTTCTTGGGGGGCCCCTGACTGACGCTTCATTGCTTTTCCTTTGAGAAATTGTCTAACTTGCGTCTATAGGAGCCCTCTGGCTAAACATATGGTTCACTAATCAAATATTTTTAAGTATATCCTGTGTCTCTAATTCTATCCTAAGTGCTGTAAGGAATTAAAAACAAAACAAATTTACTTTCTCCTTGGTATTACACCTTTTTGTGGTTGTTGTTGAATTGTGAGTATCTTGAGGATAAGACCTGTGTGTTTCTCATTTTCGTATATTCCAGAACATATTACATTGCATTCAATAAATATTATTGAATGGAAGAATTCATAGATAAATAAATAAATTCATTTCTAGATACAGACTATAAACAGACAACACCCTGAGATTTCTTATACTCTTAGAAAAGTCAGTTGAGTTGGTGATAGGACTAGGAGGGGCCAGATTGTTTCACCTTGTGAATGAAGGTCAACTTCACCCCAGGGAAATTTAATGTTATAGACCTGCCATTGTACTCTTGACCAAATCAGCAACACCAGAAATGAAATAGTGCAGTCATGCCTTGTAATGCTATCCTTTGTTAAACATGCCACTCACCTGATCTGAAGCCAAGTCAGCATGGGGGTTGTTCCTCCTCCAAACACCCAGACTGTGAAGAACACGAGCAGCAGTGTGGTGGTAAACATCATTTGTTTGGGCTGAGATTCTGTGTCCCGAATAGCTAGGGCAAATGCTATTGCTCCTCGCAAACCTTACAGGGAAAACCAACAGAGAATAAGAGAAAATGAACATCTGCATGAGTCTCGTTCTCATTTTCCTGTATTCATCTTTATAATTTTCTAACAAACACAATTACTTCTTTAAATTAAACTTTTTGCAATAATTGTAGATTCACTTGCTATTGTGAGAAATAACATACTCCTTGTCTGCTCTTCCCCACTTTCCCCCCAGTGGTAATATCTTGCAAAACCAGTCCAATAGCACAGCCAGGATTTTTGATGTTGATGCAGTCAAGATACAGTACATTTCCATCACCGCCAATATCCGTCATGTTGCCCTTTCATGACTACATCTACTTCCTTCCCACACGCTCCCTCCTTAATTTCTGGCAACCAGTAATCAATTCACCATTTCTATAAGTTTGCCAGTTTGAGAATCAAATGGAATCATGTAGTATATACTTTTTTGGAATTGGCCTTTTTCACTCAGAATAATTCCTTGAATATTCATCCAGATTGCTGAATGTATCAATAGTTTATCCCTTTTTATTGCTGAGTAGTATTCTACTATCTGTCCCACAGTGTGTTTAGCCATCTATCTGTTGAAGGGACACCTGGGCTTCTAGTTTTATGGCTATTACAAAAAAGGCTGCTGTGTATAAAGACAACAATATGTATGTATGTAACTTATGCATGTAACTTATGTATGTATAGAACTTATATATGTAAACATAAGTTTTTATTTCTCTGTGGTAAATGTGCAGGACCGTAATCATTGATATGATCGCATATTTAAAAAAAAATTACCAAATTGTTGCCAGAATGTCTAGACACCACTTATATTCCCACTGGAAATAGAGAAGTCATTTAGTTGCTCTGCATCCTCACCGGCATTTAATGTCACTATTTTTATTTTCACCATTCTGATAGGTATGTGGTAATAGCTTATTGTGGTTTTACTTTGCATGTTTCTGTCTTTTCTCTTATTTACTTAAGTAGGCTCCACACCCAGTGTGGAGCACTTAATTTGCATTTCTCTAATAACTAATGGTGTTAAATGTTTTTTAATGGGCTTGTTATCTTTATACTTGTTGGGGGAAATGCCTCTTCATCTCTTTTTCTCATTTTATTTTTCTTCTTTATCCTTTTTTAAATCTCATTTTCTAACTGAGTTATTGGATTTTTGGTTGTTGAGTTTTGAGAATTCTTTATATATTCTAGATAATATCCTTTTTGGGATATATAGTTTGCAAATATATCCTCCCATTTTGTAGCTTTTTATTGATGAAGTCTCATTTGTTGATTTTTCCTTTTATGAATCATGTTTGGAGTCAAATCTAAGAATTCTTCACTTAGATCTAGGTCCCAAAGATCCCCTGTGTTTTTAAACTTTGTTTCTAAAAGTTGTACAGCCTTACATTTTACATTTAAGCATCTGATAATTTGAATTAATTTTTGTATAATGTATGAAGTTTAGGTTGAGATCCCCCCCCCATTTTTTTGGCCTATGTATACTTAATGTTTTTATTGAATTACTTTTGCAACTTTGTCAAAAATCAGTTGGGTATATTTGTATGGGTCTATTTGTGGGTTCTCTATTCTATTCCATTTATCTGTGTGTCTGTCCCTCATCTAATAGCTCTCTGTCTTGATTACTGTAGATTTATATTAGGCCTTAATATTGGATAGAATGATTCTTATATTTTGTTTTCAGAATTATTTTAACTATTCTAGGTCTTTTGTCTTTCCATAAAATTTTAGAATAATATTGTGTATACCTACAAAAATTTTTTCTGGGCACAATTACTTCTAAAAAATGAAATGTGTCAGACAATAAGGAAAACCAAGCTTATGGACTACTGAAATTAATAAATAATTAAATAACATTTAAGAATTACTCTAGCCTGAGTACATACTACAATAAAGTCTATAATCTAAACTACCTGTTAAACCTGATTTTTTCTTCTTTAATAACAATATGCTAAGTGAATTTTTATGAATCCACATTAAATGTATTTGCAAGAAGAGGTTTGTTAAAATTTCAAATCAGAGTGTGCTGACACAAATAGAAACAGAGATGAAGACTTCAAAGAAGAATAAATAAAAGCACAAATAGTAAAAAGTTAAAATGGAAGATCTCTGTTGGGTAGCACAAGACTTACAAGACATTTATGGGTCCTATTATATCAGATAACAGGAAATAAACATTTTTAATTACAGCAAGAATAAGTCAAAGAGGTAGGGATTTGGCTTTTTTTAAATAAGATGGTTTGAATCACATACATAAGATTTCAATGATCCACTTTTGTAATATTTACTGTATCTAACTTTCCAAATTTTATTCATATATTAAAAGAATTTTAGAAACTGGACACAGTTTAGCATGAAGAAAACTATAGCGTGGCTTTTATCCGTGGGTTCCCAACTTAGATATAATATTCCTTTTTTATCTCCATACCACCAATATATAAGAGACAAGTGGCGTAACACAAGATCCAGAGAATTAGGTGAGAGAGACTTAATATATTTTGCCCGAAACAAGGAAGCCTCAGAAAGAGAGAAGAACATGTACTCCGATTATAAAATACCTTAAAGGAACAAAATGTAATGGAGGAAGGAAATTATTCTAAATTTCCATGTAGACAAGGAAATCGCCTGAAGATAAGGAAGATAACATTTGAAGTAGATATTAATATAAAAAATTCTTATACATCAGAAATTCTGAACACTTGAGATGACTGTACTCAAGAAGAAAAGTTCTCCATCAGAGATGTTCATGCATTCAGACCCAGTTGGGAAAAAAGAGTGGGGTTATTAATAACACTTAATACTGGGGAATATTTTAATAATGTTCTCTCCTGGAAATACAAATGGTGTCATTAGGGAACAGAAACTAAAAGAAACAGTCTTGCAACAGACTTCTGTATCAGAGGAGAGAATTTATAGGTCAAGGTAAAGCTCCTAGTAGTGTTTAATCACAGTACAAGATTGGAGATAGAAGGCAATCTTTTCATTTTCTCTTTTCCTCAAGCACGCATTGTTAGAAATGTTCATAAAGCAGCAATGCTCCAAATTAGGTGGTGAGTATTAGAAGTATTACGTGATGAGACTTTAAGTATTTCTTATTTTATTGAATATGTGTGTGTGTGTTTACTTTGAGTTTTTGTGAGAAAGAAGAGAATAGAGATTGGAATAAAAGAAAAAGTTGTTACATCATGCTTATTGTAAACTCTTTCATGTTAGATATCAAGGACAAGAAAGCATACAATCATTTATTTTCCTAAATATGTTTAATAACATTGCTACTATATTAAACTAGCATAACTATGCTTTTAAATCTCAATTATCTATACATGAGCAGTTCTTGATTTAAAACTGTACCCAAAAGATTACTATTAGTCTGACTTTCATGAAATATATATCCCATATATAAAATTTTATATTTACAGGTGAGTCAATGTAAAGATCTTTGAAGGAAAAAAAAGGAAAAGTTCAGCCACTGCCTTTTACTTGTGGCAGGTTGAGAAATATGCTAAAAGGGCCAACTCCAAAATGTTGATAAGAGGATGCCTTCATACGATAGACATGGGAAGCATGGACTGAGACAGCTGAGTTGTTAAGAGGACAAAGTGAAGCTATTTTGGAGCTCCAGATAAGAAGTAATGCCTATATTCCGTCCTTTATGATATCAAAGTTATTTATCCCACATTTGGAGCCTAGATAATTGTCAATCAATGGTCTTTCATTGCTTCATTCAATATCTTTATATGTGTCTTAGTCAACCATAACAAAATACCAGATGGGCTGCCATAGAGGAATACCATAGACTGTGTAGCTGCAACAACAGAAGTTTATTTCTCACAGTTCTGGAGGCAGGCATGCCCAAGATTAGAGGGCTAGCTAGCATGGTTGGGTTCTGATGAGAGCTCTTTTCCTGGCTTTTGGAAGGTTACTTTCTTGTGCAAAAGCAAGCTCCATGTGGTGTCTCTTCTTATAAAGACAGCAATGCCATCGTAGGGGCCCCAACCTTATAATGATGTGGGAAACAAAGGCAAAAGAAAAATTAAATTTCTTTACTACTTATAGCCCACAGATAAGTCCTTGAAACGGGCAGAGTGGCATTCCTCTAAAACTCAGCTGCCTCGGTGTTAACACTTTGTTGAGGGCATAAGGCAGTCTGAGACTGACCCCCAGGATCCTGTAAATCTACTTTAACATATAAAAATTCCTGTGGAAACCTCCTTTATCTCCCCCTGTCAATATATATGTTGGCAATCATCCCCGAAGCATATGACCCACCGGTATATATCTGAAGGGTCTCATGACTCAGGTTTTATTACACAGTAATAAATGACCTTTTCCTAACAGTAACTAGTCCCCTAAAGGACCTGGAAACCTTGCTTCCAAAATTCCTTAGAGACTTAACACTATCCCTAATACCCTCCCAATTTGGAAGTATATGATGCGCCACTCCTCATGCCCCCAGTACAGCTTTATCTGCCCATGGGTCCTGTCCCTGTGCTTTAATTAAATCAACTTTTTGCACAAAAGATGGCTCAAGAATTCTTTCTTGGCCATTGGCCCTGAACTCCAACATCTTTCCTACATTAATAACATCATCAAAACCTAACTACATCCCTCCAAACCCCATCTCCAAATACCATCATATTGGGGTTAGGACTTCAACAAATGAATTTGAAGGGACACAATTCAGTCCATCTGCTTTGTGGAGATTCTATGCTCACCTCTCCTCTCTATTTAACATGGATTTGGGAAACAGAAGGCTTTAGGATTGAAATAAATTACTTCAGCTACCAGCAAAATACTAGAAATGAAAAATTAATATGGACTCAGGAGTTTCTTTTAGCAAAACACTATTTCCAAGGAACATCCACTTTGCTTGGAAACTCAGGAAATCCAGAACTCATTGTCAAAGCTTGTGTTTTGTTTTGTCTTATGGGTATGTTGACCCTTTGGATTAACCTTTCTTTTTTTCTTTGTTTTAACCAACTGAATGGAAATGAGCCTATGC